CAAAGCCTGTGGCGCTAGAATGCGGGGCTCCCTGAGCGACCCGGGGTCCCGGCCTCCCCGGCAAAGAACGGTGTGATTTCGCGGGACGCGGATTCTGAGACAGAGGCCCTAACAGCTGCGGATTCCTTCTCTACAATTGGGACACCTCGTGAACACGTCCGCGTCTCACCCAGACTATCTAGGTTGGGGGAAGATGATATGGGCATGCGGCCCCCCTGAGCCTGCAGAGCGACCGGCTCATCCCTTTTGCACCCCCGCTTCTCTTGCCAACCCCCGCCTGGTGGATTTCCTCCCTCACTGGGCGCCTGGGGTTTAAGGCGTCTGGAGATCACCGCGTGCCTCGCACCCTAGCACCGGGTCTCCCTGCGGATTGGCCGCGGAGGCTGGAGCAGGGGTTCAGGTGGGGACCTGAAAGAGCAAACCGGAGTATGAAGCTGTCACGCAGTGGGGGGGGGGGGGGGGGTGTTCCTGAGAAAGCCCAGGAGCCTTTTGGCCAATGCGGGTTTTTACTTGAACTTCAAAATCTTTATCCCCCGGCTTAAAGCACCACCTGGATTGTCCCAGGGTGAGCTGTGTTGCGTCTGGGATTAAGGCCCCAGGAGTGAAGCTTGAGGGGCAGCTTGGGGTTGGAGCCAGAGACTGGCCAGGGTGCGCCATCTCCCACCAGGAAGAAGGGGCAGCCGGCCGTCTATATGGCGTGTAGCTGCTAGAGGGTTTGACCAGTCCCACCGGGCAAACGGAGTGGGTAACCCAGGCTTGAACCCAGAAACTCACTTTCAGCAGAGAACTGGGACTGAACGCTTCCATGCTGAGCATTTCAAGCCCCTGAGTCTCCTGGTGAGCTAGCGGGTGGTCGCAGGGGCCGGAAGGCAGGGATGGCAGTGTCTCCAATGCCCCCCACAGAGAGACACTGGCTTCAGACAGCCCCTATCCCAGACAAGCCTCGCATGCTACCCCCGCAGAAAATTGCTTTGGGGATGGGGGAGGTCTGCAGGCTGGCTTTGTTTTGTTTTAAACTTAAGAAACTTTGTCTTGCCGGGGGTTCTGGGGCTCTTTGTCACCTGGCAGGCTGGAGGGAGGGTCCCGAGACTGTTGTAGGAACCTGGACAGCTTGCTTGCTCTGGCTACCTTAGATCTGAGCCTCTCAAAAGCAGGGATGTGCCCTGGCGGTGGGGGGGGGGGGCGCGGATTCCCTATGGGGTGTTAGCCACTCTTGTCAACAGGGCAAGGTAGCATGGGGAGGAAGCGATGCTGTGGGTGCCCTGTCCCCCAGACATACTCAGGACCCCAATAGGATCTGAATCTCCTCCCAGACCCTCCGGCCACTACCTTACCCTGGTCCCAGCCTTAGCACTAAGTTAGGGGAGACCACAGGAACCTTCTCCTTTGGCACTAAGCCGTTGGGTCTCTGGGTGGGGTTTTCTATCCTTCTTCCAATCCTGGGCAGGTTTCCCAGGACTTATAGAATTGGGGAACCACTGAGTCCTGGGGAGAGAAAGGTCTGACACCAGTGCTGGGGTATGCCAGGGGTAGGGGCAGGTTGGGCTCAACTTGTGACAGCCCCTGTCCCTTTGTGGGGGTGCCCTTCTCACACCTACACACCAACACCCCCGCCCCCTTTCCTCCGCCTTTGGCCAGAAACTTCCTTTCTGGCTGCCGGCAGGTAGGTCCCTTCTTGCCAGGAATGTGCATATCCTGCTGGGCCCCTACTCCAAACACACCTCTTCCTTAGGGGGAAGAAAGCCCGGAGGACGTGGGGGTAGGGGGCTTCCTTCGATGCAGTAATACCCTAAGTGTTTGCTGAGCCCCCCTACTCTGTCCGGCAGGTCCCAGGCTGGGCACTAGAGTGCCGAAGCCGTGAAGGCTGGGGTCTGCTCTCTGATCCTCATATTGTCAGGGTAGGAGAGACAGGTAAGGTATCACATCAGGGGGAGGAGAGCGGGAGCAGGGTGTCTGTTTCAGAGGAGAGGTGTGAGACGTGAGGGGAAGGAGGGGTCATTTCCTCAAGAAGACTTCCCTGCTCCGCAGGCCGGGTCTGGCAATGGCTGCACCCGCCTTTCCTGCATCCTAACCCTTCACTACACCACCCCACCGCCTTGGTGGTTTGCTTGTCTCTCCCGCTGAAATCCAGGCCCCTCCACGCCTATCCTGAGCACAGCGTCTTTACTTTCCTACTAGCCTAAACTGTGCAAAATACTAATTTCTTCTACCCAAGGAGCTCCACGCCATGTCCCTTCATGATCTTAGAACTCTCCCAGCTTCCCTAGACCAAGGCCAGGCAGATGCCACTTTTGACAGGATTCCATTGGCTGAAATGGTTTCCTTGGACTTGGTTCCAGAACTCTGGATCCCAGGGCAAGGAACTCAGGGCCTGCCCAGGGCAGACCACGGGGCAGAGTGGAAAAGGCTTTGGAACTGGCCAGCAGTGACGGGACTCTGGGGAACTCAATTAAGCTCTTGGAACCTCAGTTTGCTTATGTGTAAAGTGGGTCAATAATATCCACCTTAGAGGATCCCTTTGGGAGTCGAACGGGAGAGTGTATGTAAAATCTGTACCACGGTGCCTGGCACATGGTAGCGCTGACCAACGGTGACTTTTATCATTAGATTCCCAGCGCCGCCAGCCTGCACAGTGGACAGCATGTTGGAAATGCTTGAGTTTTAACCTCCATCTCATGAAGCCCAGAGAGAAGAAGCAACTTGTCTGATGTTCCACAGCGAATAAAATATGGGGCTCCCAGCTCCTGGTGCAGCCAGTACGGCTTGGGGCTCTGCCGTGGGGAAGGGAGAAAGGAGGGGATGCGGAGGGCCTGTCAACTCCCCCCTCACTCCTTTACAAACTCAGGCCTGGGCCGCCCCTCTCCCCTCCGGTGACAAGGCTATGTTCTCTTCTCCTGCCTTCCCTTTAAGCGGGCAGGGTCTAGGTTCAGAATCTGGCATTTCCCACCCACACACAACCCTGGAACAGTCCAGTCATACATTACCCCCCACCCCCCACCATGCCCTTTTAAGGTGCTCATAGAGACAAATAAGAAACGGGAGGGAGAATTCCCCCGGGGTGTAGAGGAGGAAAAAATGGCTGGCACCATCTCTCTCCAAAAAGGGAGACTTCTGGGGCTTGGAACCCTAGCCTACACAGTCTTCTGGAAGTTTGGCCACCCATCGGAGATCAATTTGGGACCTACTATGGATGGATCATCTCAAAGAAGCAAAAAGAAACTTCAACTTAAAGCTTCTGGCTTTTTGCACTGCCTTACTGGATTGTCCGTGGGAACGCATACCTTCTTTACCCATTGCCAGTCCCACCTTGCCAGGATCACAGCAGGAAGGAACCCTGTGACTCCAAACCTTGTGGCTGCCGATGCAGTGGTCTGGGCAGGTCCCTCCCTCAGGAGTCTGAGCTCGGGGCATGCCTGCCTGAGCTAGAAATCTAGAGCTCCCAGCACAGAAAGCGCACATGTAGACAGGGCCACGGGATGTTGGGCTGTGAGACCAAGCGTCCTGTGCCTTGAGGGGGCCATCCAGGCCTGGGTCTTGTGGAGGCCTTCCTTCCCTCGATCCTTGTCCCAAATCTCCTTTCCGGGCCTTTGCCAGGCTGTCCCTCAGTCCAGGGCCTCCCAGCACCTTCTCCCCACCCTGACCAGAACCATGCAGCCTGGGCCCAGAATCTCAGTAGCTCTGCTGACCTCACCGGTCATCCTGTGCCCATCCTCTGCCCAGCTGGAGCCTCTAGAGCTGGGACCTGAGGGCCATTGGGCTCACTGGTGGTACTGGACACAGGTAAATAATGTTTTCTCTCCCACTCAGAACTGATTCCGATGGCACCTGACCTGGGCTGCCGGGCAAATGGGGGCGAGACGGTGGGTTTTCCTCAGACAGTAAGAGTGGAGTGGGTAGAATAGCGACCCTCTGGCATTTGTTCAAGGTAGGTGGAAGTTACCTAGAATTCTCACTGACAGCAAAGGAGGGACAAATGATGGTGACTAGAAGGCAGGTGACTCAGGGAGTCCTGGTCTCCACTCCACAAACATCGTCGAGCACTTACCATGTGCAGTGGCAAGCAAGAGGGTCGAGGGGAAGAGGTGACTCGGTCCGTGGCAACTTGGAAAATCAGAAATGGAGCAGGTGCCCCAGGGCTGATCTTGCAGATAGGGACTGTTGTGCTCTGGTCCTGATGCCCCGCAGGGGCGGCCTGCTGCCTGCGTTGGCCTGGGAGAGCCCTCAGGAGGGCTGCACTGTGTGAAGGGGAACTGGAGTGGGGGTGGGGGGGAGAGGGGGGCTCCCATTCTTATTTCCTCAACCCAGTGAGCTCCCTCCCATTGAGTCCCCCCCAGCTCTGGAGCCCACCCTTCCGGGAGACCGAGGCTGAAAGAAAGTGGTCCAAAAAAAAGGGGTAGCAGTGTACTTCCTCCTTTCCTTCAAAAGTGCCCTGGGCAGATGTGCATCCGCACCCTGCAAGGAAGGGCGTGCGCAAATCTGGGGAGAGATTTGGGGGAGAGATTGAATGGCAGGATTTGTGGGACACCCAGGGAGTGGCTGCAGCTGTAAGCACTTAGGGAGCAAAGCCGGAGCGCTGGAGAAGCTCCCTATCTTCTCAAGGCTTCCACACCACTGGATCGGAGCAGGAGGCGCTTGGGAAGGTCGGGTCTTGTTAAGGATGTAGAGTTGGTCCTCTTGGGAGAATCCCTCCTTTAGGAAGCCTCTGGGATATCCGCCCCACCCCCCACAACCCCTGAGAGCCAGGGCTACTGGTCTCCCCTCCCCAGCTCAGCAGGCTTGCTTTGCGTTGCTTGCCTCCCCAGCCTTTTCCTGAGCTTCTGCGAGTGCATCAGTGCAAGTTGCAGGAAGCTCCTTAATCTCTTAGACCTGAGCTCCGGGGTGCAGCACGGAGAAAGAGCCTGGGGCACGGGGCCCACTCCGCCCAGGGCCTGGGGGTCTAGGGAACGTTGGAAGGGGGGCTGCTTGTCTTTTAGCCACTGGGAGGGCGGCCTGTGCCCGTGTGCTGCACTCTACTCTCTTGGCGATGACTTCGCAGGTCTGGGTGGTAAACAAGGTCTGGATTCACCAGTCGTCACACTGCTACCAGCTTCCTAATTCCCTCTAAGACCTTAGGCATGGCCAACTTCTCTCTGGGCCTCGGCTTTCCTAACTGCACAGAGGACGAGGGATCACCCGTGGGCTCCTCTCCCGGGCCTCTGCAGGCCGAAACTGCGGGTTGGGCATCGGGCAGAGAAGAGACTGGAAGGTCTCAGTGCACTCCCCCTTTGTTCCCGCGCCCGGAGCCTACTGCCTCTGCCACTCTTTCCCAAAAGGGGCGCTGTGGAACATGGGGCAGGCGACCCGAGGCCCAGTCAGGTCTCCTCCTTCCCAATTAGGCAGCGGAGCCTGATTAAAAGGGGGTGCTGCCCGCCCCCCCTCCTGCCCGATCTCCATCGACGAGATTTCCCTTCATCAGAATCTCACATCCTCCAGAAATTAATTTGATGCCTCTTGTTATCAATTAATTGAATCTCGTTGGGAGAGAGAGCTCAGCAAGGCAGGCTGCAGCTTGGCCCTTGTATGCCGCCGTTCTGCCCTCCCCCTCACATCAGGACAGCCTCTCCCCCCCACCTCCATTTCTCTGTTTCTGCCTTGCTTTTATTCCACTTATTTTCTAAAACCACCGCTGGGAATCCTTTTGCCCAGTTTGGCTTGGATGGTACCCATGGACTGGACACTCCCTGGGCTTCACCCTTTCTGAGCTGGGGAGGGGGATAGGTCCTCTCTCCTGGGCCCTGTTCCGCCCCTCCTTAAATCAACAAAACCTCACCCTTTGGGAATTTGGCCCTGACCCTGACCCTGACCCTGTGCACTCCAGGGGCTGCTGGTGAGAAACTTGGAGAGGAGGACTGGGGGAGGGAGAACTAGGGACAGACTCCAAGGAGCTTCTCCCACTAGACACCCACACCCTAGATGGGGGAGGGGACACTGGAGGACCAGGCTAGGGACATGTCAGCCATCAGGATTTTGTTCATTCATCTTTTTTTTAGAAGAGGCAGTTAGGAGCTATTGCCCCTGCTAGAGCCGATCACTGTAGGGGGCGAGGGCACAGATGTGTGCTACCTCCTGGCTGCCCAAGAGCTGAGGCAGGCATCTGAAGGAACAAGAAGGTAAATGGAAGATGAAAGAGGAAGGTTCTAGAAGACATCCCTATCTGGGAGGGGGCTGTGGCAGGTACAGGGTACAACTAAGTGGTCACCAGACCCTGACTGAGGAGCCGGGCCTTGCCATTTCACATACACTCTTGTTCTGATCCTCATAACACCCCTGAGAGATCCTCTAGGCAGTGATACGCGTTACTCTGAATTGGCGAGCGAGGGACCCGGGGGTAGAGTGGAAATGTAACTTGCCCAGGGCCACATAGTTACCTGGAACCTGCCTCTCTGGAATGCTGGCCACAAGGGCCGAGGTCGCAAATTGACTAACTTTACCCCCTATGAGTTTTTTGTTGGCCCACACAAAGTTTATTACAATGGCACGTTTCACGTAAATATCCCCACTTTAGCCTCTTTTGAGAAACCGGAACCCTGTCAACAGTCAGCCTGCATCTCTGGGTGTGGTAAAGACAGACTGGGATTGAGTGCCCTGCACTTCTCACATGCCCTCCTAGGTGACCAGCCTTGCCCCTGAGGGCATTTTGGTTAGTAGCTCTGTCTTGGAGATTTCACCTGTCTTCAGTATTCTTCGAGGAAGAGCTGGGGGAAGGGGGGTGGTCTCCGAGACTCTGCAAGCTCTCTACTAGAGCTCAGAGAAGACCTTTAAGGACACCCTGACCCCAATCGAATTCCCACATACCTGTTAAAAACGGATGGTGGGGGACAATTGTCCTGTTTTCTACCATGGCGGGAATTATGGGGTCTTGTGTCTCCAGG